GCAAGTTTTAATTAGGCGAATAGTGCCCTTCACGTATACGCAGCACAAAGTATAAAATTTTTGACGGTTATAAAATTTGACGCTTTAATTAAAATCATCAACTCATCAAAATAAAACCTTCGTCAATAAATCACGTTACAGCTATACGGTATTAGTTTAGTCACTATTAAGAAGTCAGGTAATTCAATTTGTGATTCACTCTCAAATTGTTCCCTTATCTGTGATTGTGTACCAACATCTAGATACACTGGACTAACCCACTCCGCCAACACCTCTAACTGGTTTGACAAGTCAAACAATTATTATTACAATGTTAACATACTGGTTTATCCAGTGGGCGGTGCATTGATAGAATGATTTCCTTATAAGGAGATGGGCAAGGCAATGACGGCCAATGAAACCAGCCACTGATTGTTAGACGAGTCTTTGAAGCTGTCAACACTTCAGATACCTAACACATGTGAGCAAGAGAATCTGATTGGTCGATTGCATAATAATGGTCTATCTTACTTGATGGAAAGAGGCTGGAGTGACTTCAAAGAATACAAAAGAGTTCCACAAAGGAACAATAGAATGGACTATCTGATGAGGCTGACCAAACTCTATATACTAAAATAATTATTATTATAAATTACAAATGTACATACCATCAGTGTTGAATAAATCAAGTGTTCCTATGAAGAGAAGAGAAAGTATTATTACTGTACAATACTTCATTGTGGCAATTTGCTACAATAATGCAAATGGTGGCGTTTTAAGTTGGCTGATTTTTGTACACACAATACAAACATTACCACTAAGGATTTACATTAATGATTGGCAGTTACCAAAATAAAGTGCTATGCGGTAATTCTCACCTCCATCTTTCTTCTCCCTTGAAGGATCTACAAGATAGTATATGTATGCAATCCTTCTACCCTCCAGCTCATCATCATGACACAATAATACATCTACAAAGAGAGAAATCACTCTACATCATGTGAGGGTACATATCAGTGACGTGACTTGTATGATCGTATTTAGCACAAGTTGCATCCACAGTCTCATACAGGTCAATATCAGTTAGCCCTCTTAACCATGGCAGTATATCACTTAATAATAAATCCCTAAAAGCAGAAAACACATACCAATAGCATATAGCTTGTAATCTTGGAAGGCATTTTGATAGCCATTTAACAAAATAAACCCATTATTCACATACTCAATTGCCACAAATTAAAATCCACCAATCACAAACATTAGCAATTTGCCAGATTTTTCCACTTCTAAATTAACAAGCATACTGTATGTTCATATGTACCAAATAACAATAAAGATTTGGTTCCTACCAAAATTGTTTTATTTGAATTGATTTGGCATCTTTAAGATCATGTGACTATAGAACAAATAAATCAAACAAAAACAACAACAGTAATAATAACAACAACAATAATAATAATTACTTGTTTAAATTGGTAGAGGTTGTTGTTCTTGTCAAAAAATTTCAATTTCATCAGTGACGACTTAAGATCTGATGCATAGCCCCTCCCACTTCCTGTCTCCATGCCCTCACTAATGAAATCCTTAAGAGTCCAACACATGAATGGATCAAAAAGGACATTTGCAAACTCTAAATAAAGTTTGAGCATTTAAAAATTACAAACTTTTATCTTATTCTTTACCTGATTCAAAAGGCTCCTTGTTCCTAAAAAATAATTATCATTAATTAAAATTAGTTAACTTAATAATATAATGGAATAATTTAGTCCCGCCCACCCACGTGTTAACCTCCAAGCGTTTTTCATGTCTTTAAATAGCTTTCCTTTAGTATTCATATAAGCATTGTTGAGCTCTGGGGTACTATTTTCTCTCCTCGCTTTCTTACTAGACTGACCAGGATCTGCTGTAGGCGCTAAGGAGGGGAATCCAACAGGAGCAGCAGCATCATCGCCATCGCAGGCCCGTTTTGCCATCGTGTACTTTTGGATATCACCGTATACTGACTTAAAATGGTGAGTTTGAGTGCTTTCTTGCTATAATAATAATTATTAATATTTTGTTTTATTTCTAGTTGCTGTTATTTTTATTAAAGGCAGCACAGGATAATCCTATGGTAAGGAAACATTTTAAATTATTTATTATTGGTGTGGTTATTGCCGCCATAAATCATAGATCAGTACGTCATATGTAAATCTGG